GGTTTTGTTTAAAAGATATACACTAATGTGTTTATGGATAAAATAATAATATTATTGATTGTATTCCCCATGCTGTACTTTATATCCCCATGAGTATTCTGTAACTACCAGTTTGCACTTTTTAATCCCTTCACCTTTTTCACCCATCCACCCAACCCCACTTTCATCTGGCAACCATCAAATTGTTCTCTGTATCTAAGTCTGTTTCTGTTCTGCTTGTTCATTTATCTATTTATTTATTTTTTAAAGATTCAGTTGTTGATAAATATGTATTTATTGCTATTTTGTTGTTCATATTTTTAATCATTTTTTTCTTCTTCTCAAAGAAAACCCTTTAACAATTTATATAATACTGGCTCAGTGGTGATGAGTGCCTTTAGCTTTTTCTTGTCTAAGAAACTCTTTATCTGCCCTTTGATTCTAACTGATAGCTTTGCTGGGTACAGTAATCTTGGTTGTAGGTTCTTACTTTTCATCACTTTGGATGTTTCTTGCCAATCCCTTCTGCAAAGGTTCTTTTAAGAAATCAGGTGACAGTTTTATGGGAGCTCCCTTTTAGGTAACTAACTGCTTTTTTCTCGCTGCTTTTAAGATTCTCTCTTTATCTTTAACCTTTGGCATTTTAATTATGATGTGTCTTGGTTTGGGCCTCTTTGGGTTCATCTTGTTTTGGACTCTCTGCGCTTCCTGGACTTCTATGTCTATTTCCTTCACCAAGTTAGGGAAATTTCCTTTCATTGTCTTTTCAAATAATTTCCAATTTCTTGCTCTCTATCATCTCCTTCTGGCACCCCCATGATCTAAATGTTGGTATGCTTGTAGTTGTCCCCAAAGCTCCTTAAACCATCCTCATATTTTTGGATTCCTTTTTACTTTTTGCTGTCCTATTGGGTGTTTCTTGTTTCTTTACATTCCAAATTGCTCATTTGACTCTTGGCCTTATCTACTCTTCTGTTGATTCCCTGTAATGTAGTTTTTATTTCATTGTAATCTTCATTTCTGAGGGGATCTTTTTTATACTGTTGAGGTTCTCACCAAGTTCATCGAGCATTCTTATAATCAGTTTTTTGAACTCTGTATCCAGTAGATTGCTTGTCTTCATTTTTTTGGTTCTGTTTCTGGAGTTATATTCTATCCCTTCACTTGGGACATATTTCTTTGTCTCCTCATTTTGGCAGCCTCCCTGTGTTTGTTTCTATGTATTAGGTAGAACTACTATGTCTCCCAGGCTTGGTTAAGTGGCCTAATGTAGTAGGTGCAGGGTCCAGTGACACAGCTTCCCTGATCGCCCAAGCTAGGCTCTCAAGATGCGCCCTCTGTGTGGCTGTGTATACCATCTCCTGTAGTAGAGCCTTGATTGCTGTTGGCACCTCAACTTGAGGGATTTACCCAAATGCTGATTAGCTGCAAGGACTGGCTACTACCACTGACCTCTGACCATCTTGGAGGATAAACTGTGCAGGGACCCACCCCACAGAGCAGGACTTACTTCAGTGAAGCTCTGGTGCCTGCTGAACCCAGCTCTTGCTTATGGAGGTGTTGGGTGGTGATGCATTGATGTGGTCTGAAGCTGTCCACTGGATGCACTGGCTCTGGGGTCTCCCAGGAGGTGCATGCCAAAGCCAACCGTCACCTGTCTTCTTCCTGGAGCCACCCTGCATGAGATACCAAGTAACCTGCAGAGAGCTGCTACTTGTGCTGGGCATGGAGGTGCCCAGGTGAGGCCAGCCTGTTAACTGAGGCTGGCTGCTGCTCATGCCAAGCTTGGGGCCATTTAGTAAGAGGTATAGGGCACGCTGAGGCCAAACACTGCTTGTTTGAGAGATTTTAGGAAAACCTGAAGCATGAGCCAAAACAGGTCATTTGTACAGAAGAGCCACTGGAAACAGCTTGGGTGGACCTGAAAGTTGGTGGGGCAGGGCCTCAGAGAATCATCAGGGTGGGGCAAACAATGTGAGCCAGATTGATGGTGACTCAGATATAGTGCCTGACTGCCAGCTATGTAGGGGGAGGGCTCATCAGAGGAATGGCCTGGGCCAGCACTTCTGTTTTGGAAAAAGTTGCTCCCTACCAAATATCACCCTGATGCTGGACAATTAAGTTCCTCCATGTATATTTCTGGTATCTTTCAAGTTGCTGCCCCAGCACTGAAGCTCAGAGGAGAAGTCTGAGTAAGTTCGTGTGTGGGCTCTTTAAGAGGAATTGCTTGGGACTCCAGAAGCCCTCTAGAGGCATTCTGCCAGCTTCAATCCCTGCTGGTTTTAACAGTCAGAAGTTATGGGCATTTCTCTTCCTGGCAGTAGAACCCTGGGCTTGGGGGCCTGGTGTGAGGCTAGAATACCTCACTCCTCACGGGGTACCTCCACAGCTGAGGTATCTCTCCCAATTTTTACCCAACACATGAAGGTGTGGGACTAGCTGGTTCTACATCTCCACACTTCTACCAGTGTCAGTGTGGCTTCTTCTTCCATTGCCTAGTTGTAGGACTTTCATTCAGTCAGATTTCAGGTGGTTCTGAATGATGGTTGTTTTGTAGTTTAGTTGTAACTTTCATGTGGTCGCGGGCAGAGGTGAGTACTGCATTTACCTATACTCCCATCTTGACTGGAAGTCTACACATTGCTTTCAAATAACCCAGTGACAAGGGAGTGTTGTGGAATTGGGTGATGGTATATATGAAACAACTGTCGCATCAATTTGATAATTGCTGAAGTTAGGTGATGGTTACATGAAATAATGTACCCATCTAATAATTATTATTCTTTTTCTCTTTTTATAGCTGTTGGAAAATTTACATAATAAAAAGTTAAGAAAAAAGCATCTTAACCCCAGAGTACTGCAAATCCTTTGAGAAATTCATGGTGATCTCTCATGTGTGCTCTTTACACATTGAAGTTCAGGGAGCCAGAACTGGGTTTGTGACTTAGTAATTAAACTGATACTGGTCATTTAACTTCCTTGAGTTTCAGTTTCTCCATCTGTAAAATGGGAATAATAATAATACCTTATTAATTTGGTGTTGTGCAGTATTTGGTAGGTAGAATGCTCAGCTCCAGGCCTAGCACAAAATTGAGGCTCAATATTTGTTTCCTTCTCCCCATTCCTTCTCAAGATTGGGATACACATCATTGACTAAAACCACATTTTCCATAATAATATAATCTAAAAGCAAGATGCTGCTGTGATGGAGAATCTAGTTATAATTTCATTAGTTATAATTTATATAATTCATTAGTTATAATTTGAGGATGGAGAGAACCTCTCAAGTTTTATTCACTACTGACCTTTGCTAATCTTCCCAGAAATCCAGATCAAAGAGCCTTCAATTTACAAGGACATGGTGTGGACTATCCACAATGAGATTCATTCCTATCATAGGTTCAGCCACAAAAGCCAATTATAGTTGAGAAATATAAATACTCTAGAGTCTGGATTTATTTCAAGCAAATAAGGTTCTCATTACAGAATGCCCTCACACACTTGTTATCTGGAAGATTAAGCATATCCTTACAAAAAGTTAATGGCATGTGCTTATTGCAAAGTTAATGGCACAGAACTGTGTCTTCTATTTCTCTAGCTATTCAGATCTTTAAAAATTCTAACTTTATAGACTGTGCAAATTACATATCTACATATACACATACTTATGTGTAGTATATGTGTATAGATATATAATTATAACATATATATTTTATATATATAGCATATAACCTGACTTGTTTTCTATTTTATCTATAAAATTGTGAAAATAACCTAAGAGATAAGAAATTTATATTTGGAGAACATTGCTTGGATAAAATGCTTTCGTTATATTCAGAAGTGGCTATCATGATTTTACTTTATTTACATTTATTGCTGTAGTTGTTTCCTCTTCTCTCGGATGCATTCCACCTGTTCACCACTTTTTGAATACATCTCAGAATTTTTCCATTAGTGCATCCTACTTTTCTTGATAACAATAACTTACATTTCTATGGCACTTGGCAGTTTAAAATCACTTTTACATTCATTATCTCATTCAGTCCTCACACAGTTTTGTGAACTAAGCAGGGCACATATTATTTCAATTTTGTAGCCATATTTTACTAACCCTCAGTGTTGGAAGGTGCCTAATTTAAGATCATGCAGTTTGACTCCCACTTTGTTTACTAGTGATAAATCCGAGTCTCAGAGAAGATGAGAGAGCACTTCAGTTTCACATGCACATCAGTGACAGATAATAATTCTTATTGATGAATTCCATATTTGTAAATTTCCCTAATTTTTTTCAGAAAAATTTGTTTGTAACCCACAAATCAATACTAAGGGCTCTTCCATGGTCATTCACGGACCCACACAGAGTGATGAAACATTTGAGGGTACTGATGTAAATGTTCTCAGCTGAGGAGCCTTCTTGTTTCAGCTCTCATACCGTAAAACTGTTTATTTCACAGTTTTAGTACCAGATTTTTCACATTTTTGTTGGTGACTTCACTGTCTAAAATCACCCTCCAGCATAATGCTGAAGTTTTGCCTAGTCTTTCTAAGCACAAGAAGGCAGTGAGGTGCTTTACAGAGAAAACAGTTGTGTTAGATAAACTTTGTTCAGACATGAGTTACAGCGCTGTTGGCAGAGAGTTCAATGTTAATGAATCAACAGTACATATTAAATAAGGTGTCTTTCAACAGAAACAGACATTAATATATTGAATGGTTGATGAAAATATAACCAGAGGCTGACAGGAACCTAATTTTGTATATCTCCTGGCAGCCATGGCTCAGTATTCACTAATTCAGTGTTCTCCACAATTTTATTGAACATAACTGCAGAGAATAATGAAGATCAACTACATTTCCTTGTGAGGACCTCAAGAGGCCAAGTGCAAAAGTGTCTACTGTGGCCAGGCCAGAGCAGACTACCAGGTTGGGTTTACTGCAAGGTGTCCTGGCCTCTTTGTCAGCCAGCCTTGGGTGTGCCAGCTCCTTCACTAACTCTGGGCTTCCCCTGTTCTTTCCTGCAGCGGGGCACAACTGAGCCCTTCTTGAGGCTCCACAACCTGTACCCGAGCCCACGCTGCGCCAGGCAGGCCGCCCTGCCCAGGCTGAGCCGCAGGGTGGCCAGCCAGCACTCGTACCCGCTGAATCGCTTCTCCTCTGTGCCCTTGGACCCCATGGAGCGGCCCACCTCCCAGGCGGACCTAGAGCTAGACTACAACCCTCCGCGCGTGCAGCTCAGCGACGAGATGTTTGTGTTTCAGGACGGGCGGTGGGTCAATGAGAACTGCCGCTTACAGTCACCCTACTTCTCCCCCTCGTCCTCCTTCCACCACAAGCTGCACCACAAGCGGCTGGCCAAGGAGTATCTGTTGTTGGATGAGAACAGGTCCCTGCGGGAGGAGAACCGCGCCCTGCGCGAGGAGAACAAGACCCTTCGCAAGGAGAACAAGATCCTGCAGGTTTTCTGGGAGGAGCAAAAGCTCCCGCCGGGCCGAGAGGACAGCAGGGCCTCATCACCGCTGCTACACAAGGACAGCACGGCCTTGGAGGCGGCGAAGAAAGACCCGGCCGCACATGGGCATCGCAGCAAGGAGAACAGCACGCTCCAGCTCCTCCGGGAGGAGAACCGGGCCCTGCAGCAGCTGCTGGAGCAGAGGAAGGCCTACTGGGCCCCGGCCGAGGAGAAGACGGGCCCCGCGGAGGAAAGAAACCCGACCCCCTCGCCCCATGAGGAGCCACGCAGTTCCGGGCTTCTGACGGACCCAGGCCCAGGCCTCCCCTCCGTGTTCGAGGACTCAAAAGGACCCTCGAGCCCGCAGGAGGACTCCAAGATGCTCCGTGCCCTGCGGGAGATGGTTACCAGCCTGGCTGGGACCTCCCGGGATGAGGAGAGCCAGGCGGTCCCGGGCCCTGGCCTGGCGGATGGCAGCCAGCCCCTGGAGCTGCTGAGGGAGATGAGCCGGGTGCTGCAGGCCCTGCGGGACGAGAACCAGAGCCTGCAGGCCCTCCGCGAAGAGAACCGGCTCCTGCAGGAGGAGAACAGGGCCCTGCATGCGCTGCGCGACGAACATCGGCTCTTCCAAGAGGAGAACAAGGCTCTGTGGGAGAACAACAAGCTGAAGCTGCAGCAGAAGCTGGTCATTGACACCGTGACCGAAGTCACCGCCCGCATGGAGATGCTCATTGAGGAGCTCTACGCCTTCATGCCAGCCAAGAACAAGGACCCCAAGAAGCCTCCCAGGGTCTGAGGCCGCCCAGGCGCACAGAGGCACTGAGCTTGGGGCACAGAACATTTCCTGCCTTTCTTTTGTCTTCCTCGCCTTCACCCAGCAGCTCGTGCCTGTGGAATAGCAGGAAGATCTGCCTTGCAGAACTCAGAGAAGTAATAAAGGAGTGAGGAGGCTGGGGCCAGTTAACACAGTGCTGCTCTTTTCTTTTTTCTCTTTTCCCTTTTCTTTCTTTCTTATAGAGCAGTTTTAGGTCGCTCAAAATTGAGCAGAAGGTACAAAGATTTCACTTACACTTCCTGCCCCATGCACGCACAGCTTCCCCCATTATCAACATTCCTCACCAGATAGTACGTTTGTTAAAAATTCTGAGTCTACATTGGCACATCATAATCACCCAAAGTCCATAGTTTACATTAGGGTTCACTCCTGGTGCTGTATATTCCATGGATTTGGACAAATGTTTAATGACAGGTATTCACTTAAGTATCATACAGAGTATTTTTACTGCTCTAAAAATCTCGTGCTCCATCTATTTATTCATCCCTTTTTATCAACTTTAGATCTTTTTACTGTTTCCGTAGTTGTGCCAGGACATAGAATTGGAACCATACAGAAGTCTTTTCAGAATTGGCCTCTTTCACTTAGTATTATGCATTCGCAATTCCTCGATGTCTTTTCATGACCTCATAGCTCATTTCTCTTTAACCCTGAATATTTCCTTGTCAGGATGTACCAGGGTTTATTTTTTAAAAAGCCGTAATAAAAATTTCATTTTTATTCTAATAAGGTATGACTGACATGGAAAGAATTTTCAAATTTGATGAAGAAACTTGCTGGTTGTGTTTATCTTTACTTTTTGGATGTACTATAGTTTATTTATCCACTCATACTGACATCTAAGTTGCTTCTAAGTCTTGGCAGTTATGAATCTAGCTTCTTTTTCTTCTCTTTTTTTCCCAGCCCATTCCTTTATTACATTCTCTTTTTCTCTTTCATTTCTTCCCCTTTTTTCTTTTTTTCCCTCTCCTCTCTTTCTTGCTTCCCCATTGTCTTCAATTTTTAAGGCCATGGCGTGGGGGATGGTCTGTGGGAGAAGAGGTCACTCTAGACTAGGGCTTTTCGGTTGCACTGCTGTTGACACCTGGGTTGGATAATTTCATTGTGTGGGCTCTCCTGCACATTGTAGTATGTTTATCAGCATCCTTTTTCCTTTGCTCACTAGATGCCAGCAACAGCCACCAAACCCCCATCTCTTACAACCAAATACGTCTCCAGACATCACCAAATGTACCTCACATGTCAAAATCCCTGTCCTCTACTTCCAACATTGCTCTACCTTTCTTAAAGTATATTCCTTGAAACACTAGTTCTTGAAATGCTCTGAAAAAAATTAAGGTTTCCAGGGATGGGTTGGAAATGCTACTACAATCTTCTCTGGCAGATTAATAATTATATTCCACCTTAAAAGGTCTGAGAAATCCTACAATGAAGAAACCTGCTAGTTTTGGTGATCCCAGAATAACCTGATTTTATTTGATTGTGATATATCTTTTTATGTTACCCTGCTGATCATCCAGTTTGGGAAGTAGTGCTCTGTGTTCTGGGCCCTAGGCTCATGTCCCTACTCCTGCGTGCCCTCTGCTTGCTCATGGGTCACACTTCCCAGCTGGATGTAAGATGGGTGGGTGGCTGCCAGACTCACTGGAGGGAGGTTTAGAGGTTAAAGGTTTGTTGCTCCAGGCTTTGATTTCCACTTCAAAGTTGAACATACTTTAGAACCCAATAGCTGAAAGGTACCCTCAGGTGCTTATAGAAAGTAGTCAGACAGAGGATCCCAAACTTCGCTACATGGTGGAGTCACTTCAGGGTATTTGAAAAAAATGTTTATGCCTAGATTCTACCCCTAGACATTCTGATTTATTTGGTATTGGGTACAGCTGGATATTGGGAGGGTTAAAATCTCCCCAAGTGATTGCAGTATGCAGCAAGTTGAGGAATCACTGTGGTGGGGTGAGTTAAGCCACCTGGTTCTCAATGTAATACTCTGTTCACTAGTAATGGGTATAAGTGAGTAGATACATGTGAGGGAAAGGAATACCCATTTTGCTGATGGAAAAACTGATTGTTAGGACAGACATGAGTTTGAGACTGGAATGTCCTCACTTCTAATCCATTGTTCATGCTGGCTAGATTTCTGAGTCTTGGGCAACCTCCAGAAGGTGAGCCAAAGACAATAGCCCATACCTGTAGAGCTCTTGACCTATTGCTTTTTCACTTGATGTGACTCTGTGATCATCATCCTTTCAGGTGGGAATTATTATTTATCCTATAGCTCTGAAAACTGGAATGCCAAGGGTTTTCTAGAGGTTAGTCAACTAGTCAGAGCAAAACTGGGACTTTAACACAGATCTAATGATCACAGATCTCAAACTCTATTAGAGTGCCTTGCCACATAAACCCGGTCTCCAAAAATTGAGTTTAAGAATAGTTTAACTCAATTTTCCAGATTTAAGAAGTTGTTGAGTCTAATCCAAATTAGCATCAGAAATTTCAAATGAGGGAGAACAATGACAGAAGTATTTCCTCTCTCTAGCTGATGACTACACATCTAATCTGTACAAAAGGGTGGAAGAGGACTGATGTGAACATAGAAGCTGAGTCATTTATTCCCCTATTGCCACCAAAATCTGATAAATAGGAAATGTTTGCTAATGGGTCTCTGGCCCTTTGCAATTTTTCCCTCATGAATTTGGTAAAATGTATCATGCATCATGAAATACCATGCTTTGTTTAAGCCCATGTAATAACCCCAAGGTGTAGGAGGGGTTTTTTTTCATTTTTTAAAAAATGAAACCAATTTCTGTGATTCCAGACAACTGGAAGGCAAAAGGCACACTCCATACTTGTGTTATAAATATTTAATTTGGATTAATCTACATAACAGCAGTTAGAGGCTCTCTTGAAAGCTGAGGGAGCTCAGAGGACTTAATGCTATTTAACAATGTCAACTTTCTCTGTCAGGCAGAATTTAAATTGGTGAAAAATTAGAAAGATGAGCCATAAAATACAACTTTTATGTCAAAGGGGACATTTACTTCAAAACCATATTTCATTGTATAGTGCAATCTGTCATAGATTAGGTAACATTCAGTGGGAGCCTTTAAGATTTGCCTTTAGAGAGCTACTACATCTACCTTCCCTAATTTCTTCCATTTGATCCTCAGCTTGGCTGGCTGGCAGGCACTCTTAATTGCTGGGGTCAGCTACAATCCTCTGACCAAATTGCCTGAATCCTGTCCATAGGCCTATCTAATGACCATAAGTAGAGAAGAACACCTATGACCTGAAGCAGCTATGTAGTTAATAGAAACTAAAGCTCCCTGAAATCAGCTCAGGGAGGGGATTCCAATAGGAAAGTCACCTATGCAAGGATAGTCATCTGGGTTTAGCAGAGTGGAAACAATAGGAATCAAAAACAAAGTAGTTCTGAAGAAAATTTTGCAGGCTTTTGTATGCTTAGACCCTATTCTTGAACTTTTCACTTTTCTAAGGACTTTTCTTAAAATGGAGTGACCTCCGTCTGCATGTAGTGTTTGTTGGAATCCAGTGTTATGTCGGGTGGCATGAGAAGCAGCAGGGAACAAGGTACTTCGGGACAAGGTGTCTGATAAAGAAAATCAGAAAGACCCCTTAGTTCTCGATAACCACCAGTTTATTGTTCTTGGAGTTGAATATATGATTCATCAGATGGGAAATTTCTTTTACTGAGATGCTAGCTCATTTTCAGAATATTCTGGATATACCAAGAGCAGCTGCTGGAAACGATATTCTTTCCATCCTTAAATGTGAGCCTCTGACTATTTTGCAGCAGACAGAATGTACTTGACACTGGGAGACAAAGGCACACTCTCCCATGTTTGTCCTTTCCTCATTCACATGCAAGCCTTCTCCAGTCTGAGCTCTTACCAGTTTCTTTGGGGGTAAATAGTTCTTTCCAGATTCTTTACTCAAAACTCTTCCTTTGTTCACTCAAAAAAGTGGACTTTGTAACCAAGAACAAAGTTAGGAGGTGGTGACAGATTATTTTTAATGCTATCAAGACAAGTGGCTTTTAAATTCATGACATTTTGTCTCTCTAAGCCTGCCTTTACTCCTTGCAGATAGTGATTCAGAGATCTCCATTAGAAATGGCTTGCAGGAACACAAAGCCCAAACCCTTTCAGAAACTGATCAGTTACTCAGGAACACTGTGTGAGATGGAATGATTTTCTTTGGCTGTCAGTTACTTTTTGTAGACCTGTGGTTGGGCTGTCCTCACCTCTTCACTCTCGTTCACTCATTCACTGGATCACCAGGTCCTATTGATTCTATCTCCTAATAGCCTTTGAATCCCTCTACTTCTCTCTTTTCCAGTGGATGTTATCCCAGTCCTGGCCACTGCCATATTCTGAGTGACTGCTCCAACTCTAAATTCGTCTCCTTATTTCCAAGGTTAATATCCAGCATTCTCCACATTGCAGCCAGACTGATTTTCTTAAATGTGTGAATGTTATCATGTTATTTCCTTGTTAAAAATTCATCACTAACTTTCTATGGTCTTCAGAATAAAACAAAACTTTATTATGGTTCTCAGGCTTAAGTGTGTATGCTACTTTATGTTCTTCTGACCTTCTGAATTTAGTTAACACATCACTCCTTTTCAGGGTCCTCACTGGGCTCCTTCAGAATTCAACATGATTTAACCAAATTTTTACCTTGTCTCTTGGAGGTTACATCCAGAGAGAAGAGATTCTGCCTCCTGTGAAGGATAGGCCAAGCACTAGGGAAGATGTACTTGAAAGTGGTGAGGAAGGATGGGAACACCTATCTTGCCAGGTGGTTGTAACGAATTGTCCCTGGTCATGATTGGGTTGCTACGTGTCAAAGCCCAATAACCTCCCATCTTGCTTTATCTTTAGTGAAAATAATATGCTCTGAAAAGCCATGCACTAACAGTGTGGACTTCAGAGTCAGAGTTC